GGATACCACATAATTTGACAATCGCTCAAAAAAAGGCTCGTGTCGATTGGTGTAAACAAATGCTCAAGAAATTCAATCGTGGTGTTTCAAAATCCGTGTATTTTATCGTCACTGGTGACGAATCATGGATCTACGCGTATGAGCCCGAAACTAAACAGCAGTCGACTGTATGGGTCTTTCAAAGTGAAGATAACCCAACAAAAATTGTTCGAGCTCGAAGTGTTGCGAAGCAAATGGTCGCCTGTTTTTTCGCGATAAGTGGTCATGTGGCAACAGTTCCACTAGAGGCTCGTAAGACCGTCAATTCTGATTGGTACACCACCATTTGTTTGCCCGAAGTGTTTGATGAAATAAGAAAAAACATTCGCCGTCGCAAAATAATTCTTCATCATGATAATGCGAGCTCTCACACATCTCATCAAACAGTCGATTATTTGATCGGTCAAAAGATCCATTTAATGGGTCATCCGCCGTACAGTCCTGATTCGGCACCCAACGATTTCTCTTTATTCCCGAGCGTGAAGAATAAACTGCGTGCTCAACGATTTTCATCGCCCGAAGAAGCAGTTGATGCGTTCAAAACACACGTTTTGGAGATATCATTTTCGGAGTGGCATGAATGCTATGACAAATGGTTCGAGCGAATGCAAAAGTGTATTGATCATCATGGCGAATATTTTGAAAAACAATAAAACCATTTTCGATGAAACCCCATTGTCTTATATATGTTTTTGAAAAAACTTAAATAGTGACCCTCGTATTATAAAGCACTGAGAGCAAAAGAACAAACACGTCCGATCACCAACGCATCTCAGTGCGAATTGTGTTTGCGGAAAAGTAATATCATTTTATTATTATTATAGGTACTTAAGAATTTCTAGATTTGTTTACTTGTCTGGGTCAAATAATATATTTTACTTACAACGTGTGCGGTTGAACAGTTCCATAAGTGTCCACTTCTGGCCTGAAAAAGTTTTATATTTGATTTTCCAAAAATGAATGTTACATCGAGCACATGAAATAGCACCAAAAAGTGACATTTTTATGTACGTCGGCAATGATTTTAAGCAATCCGAGAGAATATTTTTCAGAAGTCAGAAGTGAGTCGAGCCGTGTACGAAACTTCCTTCGTTCATAGCGTTTAACGTATTCTGCTTATAAGTATCGAAGTGTGAATTAAAATTTTAACTTTCATTACAACAGAAAATGAAATGTGATGAAATATGATTTTGGGCAAGTTACGTTTTACCCAAAAAAATTTAAGTCCATATCACGGGAGACGTCAAATTAAGAGTCCGCAAAAAAATGTCAAAATTTGGCCGCCTGGTGGCATTTTGAAAAAATCGTTGGAAATTCATTTTTTTCCCATTTTTGACCACCGAAATAAAAAATATGGCCATGTTCGGGATCCTGTGGAGCAGATGGATCCGACCTGGTCCAAAGTGTTCTAGGAGTTGGGAAATCATATGGTATCGAACTAGGGGGAGACACCAAGAATAAACACACTAAAAGTCTTATCCTATTCCACGTGTCTTCCCCCTAGGTATCGAATCATTTGCTTCATCTCATACAATATTATAGAGTAAACTGAATTTATACGCGAGAGATAGATGTGGAGTAGGTGGATCCGACCTGGTCCAAAGTGTTCTGGAAGTTGAGCGCTCGAGGGATTACATCCCCTGTGGGGATGTGCAATTTTCGTTATCGTAATCGATTGATAGTTTTTTGCTTTAATATTCATGTCATATTTCACCTGAATATTGGGGTTCTTGGAAATACCAAGGGTCATATCTAGTCCCATATCAATCTGGGGAACTTTTTTTTATCCCAAATGTCATATCTTGGACCCTTCTACCACATGCAGTATCTTGAAACAAAAAATTTTGCAAATCCGGGGGGTTTTTACTGGTAAGAGATTATAAATTGCGTCACTTCTCATATAAAATGTATGTGGGTCTGGCCAGACACAAGCGCTACGCATATGACAACAGAAAGTAATGCTAAACGGATTTTTTAAAAATAAAGTGCACTTATGATAAACCTTCAGCCATTCTTGCCTAAGTGTTTTTTTGCAAAAAAAAAAATGAAAACTGGATTTTCGCATGGTGTTTAGATAATCCAAAAAATTCCAAAAATGGTCGTTTTTATTCAGACATTACTCAGCTATAAGCGCTGAATAACATACTCTTTTCTCGATATATTCAATAGATATTGAATATCACATTTATTTCTAAATAATTATTATTTTCGAAATCATCGTTTTGAAAAGGTCAATTTAAGAAAATCCTGAAGTTGCAAGGCAAAAGATGAAAATGCTGAAAGTACAGTATATAGTACCAACTTTTTATACTAAATTTTTTTAATGGGCATTAGGAAGATTGGTAGTTTTTCCCATTTCCTTATACTTTTGCATTATTGAGGTTTACATCAAATTGAGGAAAATTTAATTTTTTACAAACACAAACCGAACGAACAAATTTCGAATAAACGCTAGGAACGAACGGTTCGTTCGTTTGTTTTTATTGACGGCTCAGTTTTAAATAGACAATTAAACTTACATGTTCATGTCATCTATGAAATATATCATGGTTTTAGTTCCTGTATATAATATATTATTGAGTAACATGTTAATTTAAAGCCTTCTGTCAAATGTTGTGTCATAAAACAAACCAGGTGGTCCGAAATTTCTTCCTGCTTTTTTCTCAAGCGGCTTTTCGAGTATCTTTTGTAGCATTTCCGAAGATGTGTAGAAGTTGAATGGCACATTCTGAATAACAAATTTTTCCGATAATGTATGTAATTTTTCATTCACTAGTACAGTTTTGCCACAACCAGCCGTTCCTGAAAGACAATGATTAAAAATATTAAAATTGGATTTTGATTTTACTCTATTTTCGTGAGAGATAATCATTGTTTTCATCACTGAACTTTGACAATTCGTTTTTTTTCAAGTGCTCCATTAAATTTACACAAAAACATTCATTAAAATCACAAAATAAAACAAAAAGATAGAAAATAAGAAAGAATAATTAGTGCATTCCCCGGAAAAGTTGAAGATCGCCATAAAAATTGCATTAAAATAATAAAAATTTGAATTTGATCACGTATATAAGTGAATGTTGTTTTTGTTGTTGCTTTAGACATGAGCAATACTCACAGCTGTGAAGAAAAGAAGTGCACTGGCTTACGATTTGACGGAAAATTTTTGATTTGCAGAAAATGCAAACAAAAAATTTATTTTGAATGCATGAGTTCGCCTTATGCAACAAAACTATTGAAGGAATTTGGTCTCATTAAGATCGATAATGACAAAAAATAAAATACACTGGCGACCAAAAAAGTGTAAACATGCACGCATTATTTGATGTAGTTTCACCATTTACATACATTTGTAATGCATGTGATGAAAATGAGTTAATACAAAAAGCGAATGAAAAATCAAAAATGGCCAAATACATGGGCGATAGAATTATTGCGGCGATGCAAAATGAAATAGGGTCAATAATTCTAGGAAGTTAGTTTGATAATGACACACCAAATGTCATCACAATTGATTCATTTGGCCAAACGGATGTGCATTAGACTGGCCCCCAAAACACAAAAGTTGAAATTTTTTCGCTCTTACCTCGGAATATTTTTCCATATGGTGTGCAAATAACGTGTGTAAAGTTTTATGCCGATAGCTCAACGCTAGATGGTGCCGCAAGAGCTCGGTAGGTTATTATGTGAATTTATTGAAAATGACGTTTTCAGTTAAAATAAAAATATCTTCGCACAACCATATCGACTAAAATTGATGGTGATCGTCATTTTCCATTAAACACTTGCTACTGGTGAAGTTTCAAACGATTTGAATGAAAATAAAACACATGTCCATTCAAGATTTTCAATTTTTGACCAAAAATTCCAATTTCATCATCAACAATGAAGGTTTTGTATCAAAAGTACAACAGGACTCCACAAATTAATCTCATTTTTTCTCAAATTGTAAGCAATGAACGTGGGGCCAAAATATGAATATGAAACATGATTTATCCGAACTATAATTAACTTCTTAACCTATTTCAATGACTGAATTCGATCAATTTTGACAATATAAACAATATCAATGCTGTTTGAAAGCGTTCTAGCCTGATTTTTGTGTGGTTGTGCGAAGATATTTTTATTTTAACTGAAAACGTCATTTTTCAATGAATTTACATAATGACCTACCGAGCTCTTGCGGCACCATCTAGCGTTGAGCTATCGGCATGAAACTTTACACACGTTATTTGCACACCATGTTTAAAAACGCCAAATTTGTGCTCTCTTGCATTCATGTTGTTTTCATATACCTTGGATTATTGGATTATTGGATTCGTAAGAAGAGCATACTAGGTCTACTTTTCAGTAATATCCGTAGTTTCTCGTTGCTCAGGTTTTTTAACCTATTGCAAGACGCCCGCTTGTGTGCCTAATGCAAACCCGTAGGTTTCTTAAATGATAGTTGACCTTACTATGCCCCGTCAAGAGACCAATGGCAATTCTAATATCATTCTTAGGTAGTCTCAGAAGTTGCCTGGTCAGTCTAGTACACAGTGATCTGACAAAGAATTTTCTCTGTTCTCATGTGATTATATTATGCTTCGTGTCTTGAGCCATGTGGTCAGGGATTGGCTCTGGTCCCATGGCTGTGCTTCGTGAAGCCACCTTGGCCCTCAGATCTGCCACATCATGGCCTCTTATGTTTGAGTTAGCCTTAATCCACAACCCTAAGTGGATTGGTCTCGGCTATTCTTCGGAGTGCTTTGTAGCAGGCCATAATTGAGTCATTCCTCACCGTAAAGCCTTGAAATTCCTTTATGGCTCCCAAGCTGTCAGTGAAGATGGCCATGCTACCCTCCACTATAATTTTTAATGCACATTGATAAATTGCAGTTACTTCCGCTTGTTTGACTGTTGTAGTTAGTCTCAAGGGAATCGAAAAAGCGTTATTCTCCCGTGAACAGAAGATACCACACCCGCTTCCCGTCTCTCTGACTGAGCCGTCATTGAAATAGGAGGAGTGCATCCATGTGCTGTGTTGAAAAAACTCATTCAAATCCTTAGTCACTATTACCCCAAATCTTCTGTCGAAGTTATAAGAGGTTTTAGGAAGTCTATCAGCTGGTGCTTCTAGAACTCTATCGATTATGAAGTCTTAAACACTTTGAGAGCTTATACTCAATGTGCGCTTGCCAATTAAGCTTTTGGTCTAAGATATAGCCAGGTATTTTACGCAGTCCTTCCTTTCAACTTCTTTACCGAATATGATTGGATTTTTAAAACCTTGTAAGTTCCTGTTTTTTGTGAAAATTATTACTTCAGACTTTTCAGGGTAAATCTTAAGTCCCACTGACAGACACCACTTTTCAACCAGCCTTACGGCCGCCTGTGTCCTGTCTGAGATTGTATCCAAAAAATTTCCTTTGCAAATTATACTAAGATCGTCGGCATATCCAACCGAACGGAAGCCATTTTCATGAAATTCTTTTAAAAGATTATTCATAACAATTAGCCATAGGAGCGGTGACAATACACCGCCTTGGGGAGTTCCCCTTGAGTCAAGGGCGTAGCCAGATTTCTTTTCATGGAAAAAACGAGGACATTTTAAAATAAAATCGAGAACAAGTGGTTTTTTTTATTGAATATAATTTTTTTTTACAAAAAAACTAATTTTCTTGGGTTTTCTTTTGCAAATCTGTCTATGACTTCTTCTATCAATTGATACTTCATAGATAATCCATTCAATCGGCTTTCAATCATTGTTGATCTGAGCCATGTCTTAACTCTCCTCAATGTGCTGAAACGATCTTTCGATTGTACAAGTGGCGGTACAAAAAATGTTTCCGCTTCTTTGATAATTTGGCACATCTCTAAGTCTTTCAGTTGTGTGCTGTCCAAGGCTTTATCTTGCCAAAGTGAATACCATAATTCAATTTCGTTGTTTAAATTTGGAAGATCGTAAAAATCAGAAAAATTCTTGGTGGTCGATTTCAATTCTGTTATACTTTTTTTCAACATATTGAATGGATGTAGCGACAACAGTGAAAAAGCTGGAGAATGGTCATCCGAAAAACGTTGCTCTAAAGAAGATAATAGTGAATCTAAATATGGAATCAAAAGTGATCTTTTCCAGTATTAAGAAGCATTTTCTGAAGGGTGATTTGAGCCTTTGTGTGCTTCTTGATGATGCTAATTCCACACAAATTTTTTCAGCTTTTTCCAAAATGCCTAATGCATATAAAACTAAAAAAATCTCTTACTTAGATTAAATAAAAATTGCATAAATTAAAATAGCAGTTTCCAGATATTTGAAATTTCGAGGACAACATGACTCTTAAAAAATTCTAGGATACCTCAAATCGAAAATCGAGGAAGTATCGAAAATCTAAAGTCATATTTGTGAGTCACAAATTAATCACTAATATTCTGCATCATTAGATTTTCATTTTTTGCTTTTATTCAAAATTTCGCTAAGAGACTTTTTGGCCAATAGGCCTAAATAGAAAAATGGCCAAAATTGGCCGAAGGTCTATTCCATGGGCCGAAATATTTGTGTCACAAATTATCACAAATTTGTCACTAAATCCCTAAAAAGGTTTCAAGACAATCGGAAAAATTTGTCGGGCTGGATAGGGGGGGGGCCGTTTTTTCATAAGCAAAATGGTTTAAAAAAATTGTTTTCACTACCAGCATTATTCCAGCACTAGATTCAAGGTAAAAAAATCAAGATTGTCACCACCCATACAAATTTCCATACAAAAATCACGTATTTCGTGTTTGGGCAATTTGTGCTTCGAACCTATGAGACCAAAGTGTACAAAAGTTTATATTTTTTGTGAGCACAAAATCCCTGTAAAAAAAATTCCCCAAAAAAATCCCGCTAAGAAATTTCCCATACAAATAAAATGTCTTACATCCGTAAGATGAATTTTTCCGCACTGTGATCCACAACATGCATTTATTACATATCTTTTACTCAAAGAATTCACGAAAAAACTGAATCTGACATTAGTTTTACGACACAAATAATTTTCGAAGCACTTTTCATACAAAATCTACTAAAAATGGGAATTTTTGTATCGCAGCCATGCCTATATGATATCGTAATCATGTGAAAATTTGCAAAGGTTATTTTTTTCACAAAAAGCTAACATTCTGAAAGTTTGAAGAAATTTCAATACATTTTAAGGGTACTTCCCATACAAAATTTCATTTTTGAGCGAAAAATCCAAAATTTTGTTCGGGAGGTACCCCTAATAAGTACAAAACACTTCGTTCGAAGTTCTCACTGTGACGCAATATTGTAAATCTGGAAATGTTCTTATATAAATTTTCAGTGACGCGTTCGTTCATATAAGCATACAAAATGTTAATATTGCGTCGCCTCTTTCACCACAAAAAATATGTGAAAATAAATCCAACATTAGGCTCGAGCTATGCATAAAGCGGCTGCTATTTCATAGGCGCTATTTAATTCGTGCTAACACCGAGTAGGAATATCATAGCCTACTATTCTTTGTACATTTGAATGTGAGTACGAGCGAGATGTAGAAAATAACGCACAACATGCACAAATAGCAGCCGCTGTATCCATAGATAAATGCATAAAACATTAGGAAACACTGAAACAATCGTTTATAGATCGAATATTGTGCTGTTAAGCGTGTTCAGATTTTCATATATTTCCTGTTCTAAGTATTAGACACTAGATTAGACATGTCTATCACTTTGGGTTAGAATTTTTGAGGCGACGCAATATTAACATTTTGTATGCGTATATGAACGAACGCGTCACT